TGAAAGGTCTGCGGATCGGGTATGTGCTCGGTTAGCTTGGTCCTATCGAGCTTCCTCCAGGCTAACGAGCACACGTGATCGCTTAAGTAACGAAAGCTTCAGAACAGAACTGACTTATACATCGACTGATTTGCGGGTTAAAATTCCTGTGATCATGAGCGTGGGTCAAGTGCCTGGCGCACGTCAAGGAAGGAGTCGCTGAACATCGAGCAATTTATCGTGTCTATGGTTACGAAAGTCAGTGTGACCACCTGCTCATCGGCTTTTCGATCCTTTGGGTAAAAGCCGTGCCCTCACTTTACAAGGGAAAATCGTAAAACTCGGGAATGCATGTAAGGCGTTTCCATTGATTCGTCGGTGCTAAGCAGTTTTCTGACCGCTCCTTATTGTCCCATGTGAGTCATGAACTAACTTGCCGGCCCTGAAGGGATTGAAAACCCTCTTGTGCCAAATGGCTGGCGCTGGAGGGATTCAAAACCTTTTCCTCTATGACTGGCTAACTCTGAAGGGATAAAAACAGCAGCGAGAATTGACCCAGGAGGCCCTGTAATCGCAAAGCTATATTCGCCATTTCGCTACTTCCGATCGAATGAGTAGACATTTTTTGTTAAATTTGTACCATCTCACAACGATGAGTCAGCCATTTATTCAGCACAGTTGCCTGATGCCAAACAATCCGTCTTTCTGTGAATCGAGCATGGTCGAATGGCCACTTTGAGTATTTTCGTAATAAGCAGAACATAGTCCCCCTTTCTAGCTCATCAAAGGTGAAAATAGGCTTTGCAGGTTATAATGTCTTTCTTGGGCTCTAGAATTTCAACGGACGACTTCCCTCTACTTTCGTGCTGTTCTAAACAGTTACAGTGATAAGAAGACCAATCTGTGTGTGCAGCATGAAATCCGACCATTGCAGAAGGTCAGCGGTTAGGTTATTTTTGAGTCGCTCCTTGTGAGAAAACTCTAGCCTTCGAAACACATGCAATTTCGCGAGGGGTGACCTTTTCTATGTCAGCTTGGCACCAGAGGTCACCTTCAACACTTGAGTTTGATCCGATCTTAGGCTAGCTACGGGGTGAGTGCACTCCACTTTTGAAACTACGATGTGTAGCTTCCGTCCAGACCAAGCGAGGCGTCGAGGAAAGCTGTGAAATGCAGCCTCTCCCTCCCCTATCTCGTTGCCCTGCAAAACTCTTCTCTTCACAGGCCGGTATCAATATTATATTATCGTATTCGCTAGTAGCATGAAGCGGTTCGACAGCAATTCGCTTGATTCGCAAAGTCTGACAGCGACATTATAAAGAAGTGTGATTGCTCTTACAACGCATTTTTTGACCTTGGAGCAGCTTATCCATTATGAGAACACCTATCAAGATAATCATATCATTGTGCAGGAGCACTTGGATGCTTCTCTAAGTGTGCTTCCTAACTAGTACGGAATATGTGGGAGGTAGTGGAAAAATACCGTCTTTGGGTAACTAACAACGAAAATTTTTGAGTACGCGAGATTTGCCCTTTCGAAAGCCATAACTTTCTTCAAATGCATTGATTCAGGAAAGGTAAATGTATCATTCAGGAACGAAAAGGAAGTTGAAGGAAGTCACTCCCTGCGATGTGCTCCCTCTTTGTCGATTGCGATGAAGAGAAAGCGAATCGGGAGAGTATCATATGGGCCACACAAAGCAGTATCTTGGCTGCAGAAAGCGAGGTATAGCGCTTTTGCGGCGAAAGCAACGCTGGTGCTAAACAGCACTTGAGTAGCGCTTCTCCCTACATCTTCTCCCATCCACTAATTTGGTTGACGTTGTACGAGCTGTGGTGCCACCGACGGCACAACTATTACAGAAACCCGACTGGAGCACGTATTGCATCGATGTCCACCCAAACGGCCATTTTATTAAAGATTCAACTCGTCCACACGTCCGCTGCTGTCTTATAGCGAAAATCGAAGCCACAAAGATTGTATCACTTTGCCTTTTTTCTTTGCCGGATTTTCTGCCTTTTTTACCATTAACGTGTCAAGTAACAGAGCAACCCAGCGCTGCCATGTCCCGCACCCCTACCGAGTTCAATATGGAACACACCGTCCACTCTGTGAGTACTATCCTACCCTCGCTAGAGAACAAACCCTGACTTCATTGTGGAAACATGCCTTCATGCTAACAACTACTCGCTTATGCTGCTCCTTGCTTAAAAGGCAGTGGTTACGATAGGTTTAAGAAGGGTTTATAGAAGATTGATGGTGCTCAATGGTGCGCCGGTGGCGAAAAAGTCGGAGCGGAGATCCGTCAAGAAACGCAAAACGGGACCCTTTTTTTGGCCGTTAGTTTTTTACATGAACGAACCAGATAAGAAAGCGGACGTATGCGCGAGTTCATCGCAATGCGTTCGGAGACAGCATGCCAATCTATGCTCCAATCGAGGTACTTCAGTTGTGCCGCTGCTGGCAACGTAGCTGGTCCAACTGAACCAGTGGGCGAATCGCTCTTAGGGGCGGAGTGCTTTCGAAGTCCTGCTCAGCAACCAGTGCACCTTTGGTCGTGGGAGCGCCACATCTCGCTTCCCTGGCATTCAAGCATAGCAACAACTTCGTATAGTGCACATGCTTCCTCGATGCGCACCCCTCTTTACCGTGATCGCTGCCTTTAAGTCAAGTTCCGCGGGTTTTAGATATCATTAACTATTGTGTTATCTGCACTGACCCTCGGGTTCTAAAGCTTTCATCTATAATCGTCCAACTGAGAATGAGCAAGAATCGCCGCCTGGATTAGCAAACGTCCCATTTCATTCAAAACGCAAGGGAATATTAACGAAGTTCCTAAAAGGAAATAGAAAGTGGTTCGTAGTTTCCTCTGTTGATACAACGTCGCCATCCAACCGAAAAAAGTGATGACGCTCCTTGAAAATTATGCCGTTTTTCAAGCGTATCTCTAACACATTTATCAACAACACGAAGCTACAGTACTAGCTATGACAAGTACAAACACGTGAACGCGAAAATCTCTGTCTATTACTTCTGGGAGAGACCGCACATCGTTGATGTCTATAGGGAAGGGCTATTACAACGAGCTCAAATAGAACGGGATAAAAAATGGTGTTAAAAGATTGAGTCACCTTTATTCATATTACAGGCCCTTCCTGGAAAGAATGACTACATCACTAGCTCGAACCACAAGGACCTACACAATCGTATCGATCGTTTAGTGAGGAAGAACACAGAAATTTAATTTGTACAAATAATGGTCTACATATGGGTGTCTAATTAAGTATAAGCCAAGAAATGCAATTTCTCGATTAATCGGAAGCGATCCACTTGTGATCACTGATGGTCCTGCTGGACACCGTGAAGAAAAGCGTGGAGAGAGGTGTGAGAGTTGCATCGGTCGTAATTGCATATACAGCGGAAAAAGGTATGATGGTGGTCCAGCAAGCGGAAAACGTTTGCCCAGATCGTACTTCTGAAAATGCGCATTGATTGATTACGACCTGGTGAACATCAGTTCAATGGAGGTTCGTACAAGGTTTTGAGAAAAAAAAATTGGCCACAAATGTTAAGTATACGTTCATATAACTTTGTATAATCTTGCGAAGACACTGCCTTAGGAAAGAGCGGCATTGTGGTGATTAATAGAGGGTTATACTGGAACAGCGATTTGGAAGGATCAGTTACTTTTCGAGAGATTTCAAAGACTTTACATAGAACATTGAAAATTGATCTTGAGTTCTGACAGCGTCAATGCTGTATGTATGTCTCCTTTCATCAATGAATCTGTGGGATTGGAGTGGGCAAAGGGGAGAGCAGAGGGGATAGTGTCCAATTGAGAATGGAGGACTACCTCCACCTTTTTTTTGAATTTGGTTATCTTCAACACCGTCTATACTGGCACATTTTCAGCCAGCTGCTCGTGGTAAGCGATTCGTTCACAGTCGTTGTTATACCTTTTTTGGACATTTGTAAAAGTTCCTTAGAACAACAATATTCTCAGGCTATTGGTTAACTTAGCACACCTTGTTTCAAAGAAGTTCCTAACCCACCTCGTAAATGCACACGGTAAGCACCTCGTAGAAAGCGTCGGATTGGTTGAACGTGGCGTCATAACCTTCCAAAGGTTCCACTTTTTGATCTGAAATATTCGATGGTCATCTGTAGATTTTGAGCCACCACGTGGGTAAGTGAGACCTACCAAAGCCAAACACAGTTCCTTCTTCTTGTTCTGTTTCTGGAATCACCATACAATAGGCCCATTGGTCGTTGGACACTACTTCGATGGTACCCTTCAAAAATGTTCCATACTAGGTTGTCCAGAAAAGTTGTTGTTTCTGTAGCTCATTTTTGAATGCTTTAGTTTCGTGTCCCTTTCAAAAATCTGCTAACACTTCATATATCCTTAGAAAGCGCGTTCCTCGCTCTATCCAAATCTACTGTTTTTTCAACACTGAATCACCTTTCCACTTTTTTGAAGTCTTGAGCAACATACTCAACAGCCTGCTTTGCACTAGTTTCTTGTTTCTCAAACTTGCTCGGAAATGTGTGGAAGCAAGTTGCGATATCAATCAAGCATTTGAAAAATACGCTGCCATTCGTAATTCAAAATGTCTTTCTCGCGATGTTGAAAGCCTTGAAAGAGATTAGTGATATCGGAGACTGATAAAGATCAGCTGAGGGTTTTGACCAAATCAATCTGCATGAAACTGTTGAACAGGCTGCTTTGAATTGGGCGTAACCGACATAAGATTTCAAACATAGCGGTGAGGGTAAAAAGCCCAAAGAAGTCGAAAATTGGGTGCCGCCGGCTCTTCTACCCACTGTTGCACAACCCCATCTCGGACTTCCAAGTTGAACTAGCTGAGCTACGAAATTGTGCTGCTAACATTTTACACACTAACCTATTGCCTACCAACTATCACCTTTCCAACCATCTGGAAGGTCTACTGAGAAAGATTGAGCATTGAAACCCAACATGGTGGTGAAACGACCTTCGCCGAGTTCTTAGCTCACAGAACTCCAGCCCAGCACTTCCAACATTTGGATCAGTTAAACTCATTTCTTGTAGGCAAAGGTATGGGGATTGTAATAGTTTTTATTTCGAGCAAAGACACTTTGTTTAAACCGAGATATGCGCTTTTGAATTTGAGAGTCAAATCCGGCGGAAACTTTCTGGACAACCCAATATTATCAGGCTCATAGTTCATGCCAACAAGTCCACGCCTCGCAGTGAGCTTCTCCATCGCCATTAACACGTTGACGACATTGTGCAGCGCATGCGCATCACACCTTGAGCACCGTGTGGGACCGTGTGCAGCGCATGCGCTGCACACACAAAATATTTATTTTTTTCGCGCATGCGCTACTTCTTTTCTAATTTTTTTGCATCTATTCCATAGACTGCACCATAATATGACTAGACACGGCGAGGTTCATTGAATGGTTGAATATGCTCCTTTTTAGCGAAGGTTTTCTAAGCCCTACGAATTTCCCAATTGTGTTCATTCCTAGTTTCCTTTATATTCTGATAATCTTGGTCATAAAAAAGAGCAGTAGAAGTAAGTACAGACCCACACATATAGCAAGACATATGTTTTTAGTGGAGCAACCGCCAAAAATAATTTTGAGGTTCACTGCAGCAAAAGCAACTGAAACTTGCCTTTCATCGCCAGAAAACGTCAATTCGATCGATTTTTACAGTTGTCCCTTCTGATAAGTTTGACACATCGAATATCATTCTAAACATTTTGTTGCATCCGAGTTTTGGGTATTTAAAGCTCAAAATTCACGGATTTGATGTGAGGCGGCGGCGCCTGCAAAATCGCCGTGGTCCCACGCGGTGCAAAAACCCAAAACGCGCGTTGTCGTCAACGTGTTAATTGTGATATGTGTGTTGTGTGTGTTGTGTGTGTGTGTGTGTGTGTGTGTGTGTGTGTGTGTGTGTGTGTGTGTGTGTGTGTGTGTGTGTGTGTGTGTGTGTGTGTGTGTGTGTGTGTGTGTGTGTGTGTGTGTGTGTGGTGTGTGTGTGTGTGTGTGTGTGTGTGTGTGTGTGTGTGTGTGTGTGTGTGTGTGTGTGTGTGTGTGTGTGTGTGTGTGTGTGTGTGTGTGTGTGTGTGTGTGTGTGTGTGTGTGTGTGGTAAGCAATAATCGAGCCAATTACAGCGAACGTGGGGCAGCGCAGCTGATACCTGTGGTGTGTTGTGTGACTGATCAGCCAATAACGAGCCAATACAGCGAACGTGGGGCAGCGCAGCTGATACCATCCTGCGATGTGCCAAGGAGGTCCTGGGCGAGACGTGAAACAGAAGAAGGAAGCATACTAGCGCTGGCAGAAGACCCGGAGCCCCGAAGACCTCGCACCTACAGGAGTTAGCAAGAGGCTCGCTAAGGCTGCTGTCGCTAAGGCGAAGAACACGGAAATAGACGCCTTGTACGAGAAGCAGGAGAAGTTTTGCGCGTGGATGATCCTAATCGGTAGTCATGAAGGAGGAGGCTCAAAAATAGATTTTAAGAAATTTATTATGTACCCGATATCGTAGGTCGGTTTTTCCATGATTTGCCAATTCGTGCCTAAGACACAATATTTTAATTCAGAATCCAGGGAGTGAAACAGCATATTCATCGAATGACTCATTAACACTTTCCCATTTACCAGTATGAGTGGAAACCTCGTACGATTAAAGCTAGGGAATTTTTTGAGTCGAAAAAGAGAGGTAGGTCGGTTTTGACATCATCTGACAAATCATCCCTCTCACTTGCTAAAAGTTAGGCCTGGACAAAAGAAGTATACATTTAGTTAGAGTAGGGTCTGCACTGTATGGTGGAAAAGTTATTACTTACCAGCTCAACTGGACAATTTTTCCCGGAGTCTTTTTTGCCACATGGGGTCAAAAACGCACCCTTTTTGAGCACACTGAGTGGCAGGTGAGCACATTTATTAGAATTTCTTGGTCAATCAACTTCGTTAGAAGCGTTTGTGCACCATTGATCAGTCACTACTAAGGTGTCCTACCATTTCAGCACAAGACTGGTGCAGCCCCGTCTCGACTGATTTAACTAGGGCCACCTTTTTGACGACGATTGCGGGCATCACTTCAAAGACTTCACTGTCTTTTGAGAAAACTGTGAAAAACCGATGAGCATTTTAAATGGTAGTATTCCCTCCAACAAATGCATATGTTGGTTTGGTGGGCGGAAGTTGTAGCTCTCAGCAAGAATTTTGAAGCATTTGGTACACACATGCGAATTTGCACACTGGACCCAGGATTTTCAAAAAGTATAAAAATTGGGGGAAAGTTAAATTGTGAACCAACAATAGAAAACAATAAGCAACATATTTCGCAGTATTAATGAGCAAAAAGGACTTTCTGAGATATTGATTTTCCATAGTAATCGGCCCCAAAACTTCCTGAACTCAGAAAAGCGACACTAAGATATCCGGTACCTATAGAATCCTAGCTAAAGAAAGCAACAAGCAAACGAGATGGCTAGCCTGTCGGATAGGCGAGCTTGTGTGCTGAGTTGCAGGACATCTTGGAAAGCTTCAATACTTATCAAAAGATTTTTACAACAATACATGTAACAGTGTCTCAAAAATTATGTACCGACCTAATATATGACATCATAGCTATGATTTTATCAATTACTTTCCAGTCATTAAGGCATTCAATAATGTTTGTATCAACAGAGCGACCAAGAAAGAAGCCATGTTGATGCGACGGAATGATCTTGTGTCCAATCACATACCTGAGTATATGATTTTCAATGTTTTTTTTTTCGAATAATCAGCAATACTGTACAATATAATAGACAGAATAGTAATAATATAATGAATAGAGATGTGATGCTTACCGGTCGATAGCTTTGTGGATCAGAGGCTTTTCCTTTTTCCAAAACAAGTGTGACAAAGCAGTGTTTCCAGCTTAAAGGAATTTCACCATACATCAGCGACTGGTTAAATATGTAAGTCAATGGTCCACATATGGCTCTAGCAATATTTTGTATGAATTGCAAGGGAATAAAATCAGGTGTGAATGAATAAGATTTCCGGCCATTTCATTATTTGTTCATAGAGTTGATCTGCTTGAAACCATGGAAGATCTGTCATGGGTGTGACATAGAAGTGGGAAAATTGAGAATCCCACCGTCATCATCAATGAAAGATTTCTCAAACACATCTGCTAACATGTTAGCCTTATATTATGGAGTGAGCTATACTATCGCCGCATTTTAAACAAACTATCTTACTCCTCTCTCGGATTTTGCTATTCAAATACTTATAGAAATCGCCACTATTACGAGATTGTGCAATTTTTATATAATTGTAATTGATTAATAATTATATAAATTTCAATAAACTCCGAATTTATTGAAGTCACGTAATTCTTTCATCAAAATATAAAAATGTCCATTAGAACAATCCACTATACGCTATACAGGGGGGGGGGGCAAAAAAAAGAGTCACTTTGCCCATGGCGCACATCATCAAATTTTTCGTCGCACAGGATGCCGTTGTTGATGAATGTTTTACGGCAGAATATTCCTTAGGTGTCCCCCTAAGCAGAAGCAGGCCCTCCTTCACTGCCCCACCGTCTTCAGAATATGACGTCATCTGCCGTCACCGTCGAGCTCAACGAGGCTTACCGTAATTGCTCCATGTCAATCGATTAAATGGTGAATAACTTCCAGAGAGACACTAGCTGTGACTGTGCAAGACCGCTTTTGACCAGCGTTTCAGGGACGTCGTAATGGTCTATGGTACCTCGACGACCTCGTTGAGCTCGTACCGTGAACCATGTTTCCGTGGGAAAATCTTCTGGTCGGTGTAGAAGGCTGTTATGTAACTTGTTGATAGATTAGAATGTGCTTTCCGATATTCAGTTGAGCTCATTTGGTTTGGTATCGCAGGGTAATCAATTCCTGAACGAAGTGAATGTGAACGGAAGTGACGCTTTTTTTGCCCCCCCCCTCCCCCCTTAGCCACTAACATTAGGCAAATCTTACGCATTGCCTGAAACTCTCTAAACTCTTTGGTATATGAACTGTGCCCGAATTCTGGGTCACTTAATGAACTAAACAATGAAGTGGGGCATATTCTAGAATTTTTCTTCGAACATGACTAGCTTTTCGCTCAGATTCGAAGCTTCTCTTGACAGACGCCTTACAGCTCCTTGCTTGGTGGTTATGCTATATTTGGCCCAGGGGGCTGACCTGACTACTCCTTCAAAACACCCCATGCCGTTTGCCC